TTTGGATATGGGAGATGACAACTCACTAAATTCAGGTTTCATTCTTTTGGGGAGAGCATTTTTAAAAACTGCCAGAACCAAAATAGATGTTTATGATGGTACCCTTTCAATGAAATTTGATGGTGAAGTTATCAACTCAATAGTTATGATGCCACGCGTTACCCTGATGATGTTTCAAACCTTAATTCCATTGATGTAATTGAACCATTATCTGCAAAATATTTTGAGATTGCTAATCGTGAGTCACTAGCATTAGTGCTCCACATAAATTTGTCTATTAATGTAGCTCAGGTTATATCAGAAAATTATGTGGTTGATAGAGAAGTTCAAGAGATGGCAGTTCATATGGGCCAACAGAGAAAGTTGAGGTATGGTACCTAAATTCTTAAAATTCCAGTTTCTAACTCCAAGCTTTTTCCTTCTATAGTGCAAGCTCCCATCTTGGAGCTGAAGACACTTCCAGAACACCTGAAATATGCATATCTTGGAGAAAAAGAAACATTACCAGTTATCATATCCAACAAGCTGTCAAAAAAAGAAGAGTTAAAGTTGATCAAAATTTTGAAGGAGTATAAAAGTGCAATTGGGTGGACTATTGCAGACATCAAAGGACTCAGCCCATCTCTATGCATGCATAAAATTTTGATGGAAGAAGATTATAAGCCATCGCGGGAAGCCTAACGCAGACTAAACCCACCAATGATGGAGGTGGTTAAAAAAGAAGTTATGGAGTTATTGGATGTAGAGATGATATAACCAATTTTTGACAGCAAATGGGTCAGCCCAGTTCAAGTTGTACCCAAGAAGGCTGGAGTGACAGTGGTAGAGAACAAAAAAGGAGAGTTGGTTCCAAATCGGGTTGAGAACGGATGGCGTGTTAGTATTGACTACAAAAAATTAAATGCAACCACTCGGAAAGATCATTTTCCTCTCCCATTCATAGATCAGATACTAGAGAGGCTTGCTGGAAAATCCCACTAAGGATGAGCAGTTTGTCCCAAATCCCGATCTCGTACCGATACCGAACTGTACCGAATTTAAAACTATGGGACGGTACTTGGTACTCCAAATACATGAAATTCGAGAATCGGTACCGTCGGTATCGGTACTAGTACTGAAAATTGGTACCATTCCCGATACTGGTACCTGTGTTATTAATTCGGTTCAGTACTCGGGATTGACTTTCGACCCAATTTGGTTTTCGGGAAATTGGGAACGGTACAGGTCGGTACCGGTTCCATTCCACGCTCATCCCTAAATCCCACTACTGCTGCTTGGATGGATTTTCAGGTTTCCATCAGATTCTCGTTGCTCCAGAAGACTAAGAGAAAATGACTTTCACTTGCCCTTTCGGGACATTCGCGTATAAGTGTATGCCCTTTGGACTCTGCAACGCGCCTGCTACCTTTCAAAGGTGTATGGTTAGTATATTTTCTGAGTATGTCGAAAATACCATAGAAGTCTTCATGAATGATTTTACCATCTATGGAGACTCCTTTGATATTTGTTTGAAAAATCTCACAAAAGTTTTACAAAGATGTATAGAAATTGACTTGGTCTTAAATTTTGAAAAATGTTACTTTATGGTTGACCAAGGTCTGATTCTTGGACATATTGTTTTAAAAAGAGGCTTGGAAGTCGATAAAGCAAAAATAGATGTTATAAAGAGCTTACCCTACCCGAAGAATGTTCAGGAAGTGCGTTCCTTTCTTGGCCATGCAGGGTTTTACAGGAGGTTTATAAAAGTTTTTTCAAAGATATTAGTTCCCATGTGCCAGTTATTGCAAAAAGATGCTGGATTTGACTTCAATAAAGATTGCAAGAAGGCTTTTGATGTGCTGAAAAATCTTCTTACTTCTACCCCCATCATTCAGCACTTAGATTGGAGTTTACCATTCAAGATAATGTGTGATGCTAGTAACACTGTTGTTGGAGCTGTTCTAGGACAAAGAAAAGACCGGGTTCGCCACGTTATATGTTATGCATCAAAAACTTTGGATAATGCCTAAGCAAATTAATCCACCACAGAAAAAGAGTTGTTGTCAATCGTTTTTGCGTTGGAAAAATTTAGACAATATTTGTTAGGCACAAAAGTTATAATCTTTTCTGATCACGCAGCTATCCAGTACCTTCTTGCCAAAAAATATTCAAAGCCAAGGTTGATTAGATGGATTTTGCTGCTACAGGAGTTTGATATAGAGATCAGGGACAAAAGTGGTAGAGTAAATTTGGTAGCTAATCATTTGAGTCGACTCACTCTACCGAAAGACCCGACACCGATCTGTGAAACATTTCCTGATGAGCATCTAGTCACTGTTCAAAACCCTCCTTGGTTTGCTGATATAATGAACTACTTGGTCTCCAGAGAACTCCCTTAAGATCTTACCCGTTCCCAGAAAGATAAAATAAAGAAGGAGGCGAAAAGATATGTTTGGGACAAACCGTATTTATAGAAACACTGTGTTGATCATGTGATTAGAAGATGTGTGCCTCAAGATGAAGTCAAGGAAATTCTGAATTTCTGCCATTCAGAAGCTTGTGGAGGGCATTATGGTCCACAACGAACCGCACGTAAGGTCTTGGACATCGGTATTTATTGGCCTCATATTTTCCGTGACTCTTTTCTATTTTTCAAAACTTGTGAACGGTGCCAAATGACTGGGTCTTTGACATCTCGTAATCAAATGCCACTTACTCCAATCTTGGTATGTGAAATCTTTGACGTTTGGGGTATAAATTTCATGGGTCCGTTTCCGCCATCTTTTGGGTTTGTGTACATCTTACTTGCTGTGGATTATGTGTCCAAATGGGTTGAGGCAAAAGCTACACGAACAGACGATGCCAAGGTTGTAGTTGATTTTTTCAAGACAAATATATTTGCTAGGTTTGGGACACCAAAGGCCATTATTAGTGACCAGGGAACGCATTTCTGCAACCGCACCCTCGAAGCAGTCCTAAAGAAATATGGTGTCACACATCGAGTATCCACAACATATCGCCCGTAAACCAACGGGCAGGCTGGAGCTTCAAACAGACAGATCAAGGGCATTATAGAGAAAACCATCACTCCAATCAAGAAAGATTGGAGTATTCGATTGGATGATGCGTTATGGGCTCACTGAACAGCATACAAAACTTCTATCGTTATGTCACCATATAGAATTGTTTTTGACAAACCTTGTCGATTACCAGTTGAATTGGAGCATCGAGAATATTGGGATGTAAAAAAGTTGAGCATGAGTATAAATGAATCTACTAAGAAAAGAAGATTAGATATCCAAGAGTTAGAAGAAATCAGGAATGATGCTTACGAGAACGAAGCAATGTATAAGAAGAAGACGAAAGCGTTTCACAACAAGATGATCTCGCGAAAGGTATTCACGACCGGTCAAAAGGTACTCTTATATCACTCTCGGTTCAAACTCATTTCTGGTAGATTAAGGTCTCGTTGGGTGGGACCTTTTGTTGTTATTAACGTGTTTGATCTTGGTGCCATAGAAATTAAGAGTGAACAAACAGGAAATATTTTTAAGGTAAATGGTCATCGTCTCAAACCATTTTATGAATGGTTTCAAGTTACAAATAAAGAATTGGAGGTAGTCGAGGTCCCGACTTACCACAATTGAGGAAACCAAGTAACAATGTCGAACCAACGACAGTAAAAATGGGCAGCCTACCGGGAGGCAACCCGGGCCGTTGTTTGGTTTCGTTTTATTTTGCAACTTCTTTTTAATTTGTGTATGTTTTTAGCTACTTAGGTCGTCCCTTTTTAACTGAATCGTGTTTTTAAAGTAAAAAGGAACAAAGATAATTTGAAAAAGTTGAAAAAACGTAGTTTTGGTGGAACCTATGATCGCAATGTATGATTTCTTTAGTCAAGGTCATCATCGAGGTTTCTTTTGGAACAGTTTTCACGAAAAAGCGAACCTGTGATCGCAGGTCCAATACATGCGATCGCATGTATCCATTTTTTTTACCAGCAACACTTTTGAACAATTAAAAAATCAATTAAAGCATATTTTTTCAAACCTGCGATCGCATGTATCAAGTTTTGTCTATTTTGCCGTTATCTACCTCGAGAAAAGTGCCAACGGACAATTTTTAAAAACCTGCGATCGCTTGTTCCCCCCTTGCGATCGTAGGTAACGATTTTGCTATATATATATATATATATATATATATATATATATATATATATATATATATATATATATATATATATATATATATATATATATATAGGATCACATCATTTGTAACCGCCACACTCCAAAAATTCTTTCTGAACTCCGCTACATTTCGAGTTCTTTCACCAACAAACACCCAAATCGCTCATTTTTTTTCAAATCAAACAAATAAGGTATAAATCTCTTATGTTTTACTCCTACAACATCTCTACGGTAACGAAATCATGTTTTCACGGTTGAAATTCTCCATAAATCTCATTTTGTTCATTTTGAAATTTGAATTTTTGTGAGTTTCTTTTTCAGATCTACGCTCTGTTAGTAATCCGCAGGCCACGAAAAGTAGAAACGTTTGCACACGACACAATTCAGAAGAGATTCATCCAGACGAAATTTCAAAAATCAAAAAAATTTTAGGCACGAAAAATATACTGCTGCTCAGTGCACAGTCAGGTATTTTCGTTCTGAAACTGAAATTTTTTTTTTTTTTGTTATATATTTGTGCGGGCTTGCGTATCCGTTTGGGAGTAGTTAGAAATAATTATTTTTGCTTGATTATTATTATTATTATTATTATTATTATTATTATTATTATTATTACCTTGAAATTGTGCCTACCTTGTCCAACTTTTGACTTGAAAAAATGCCCCTTAGACCCTCCCGTTCACGCTGACAGGTTGACACCCCAGACCCGTCATACACTACTGAGGTGGACAATGTCACTGTGGATTTAGGTTCACAGGCTGCACTCGACTGTTACCAACGACTTCTTGACCGTGAGATTTTGCCACAAGTCTGGCCCCTAGCCACACATTAATGCAGGAACTCCATATTTATGATGGTGTTCATGCCCTTTTTGCTAATATTGGCTGGGAGCGCCTTTTATCTGTGGATTTTGCCACCTGTCCCCTATTGACCCAAGAGTTTTTAGCTACGCTGAGTGAGGTCAATCATGAGGGAAGCTTTTCTTTTCACATTTTTAGCACCCCTCACACTATTCACGTGGACCAGTTATGTACTTTCTTCCATACCCCTATCACCAGTTTATCCCAACCCACCCCAGCTTTTGACGTACGCGAGTTTTGGTACTCCATTACCGATTTGGAGTTTTATGATTCAACCCAATCCATCCAGACCAGTAATGTGCACACTGTTCTCAAAATTGCATTGAAAATTATATGCAATATTATTTATGCACATATTGAGACTACAAAAGCCGACAAAGCCGAGCTTTTTCTTTTGTGGTGCATGATCATCGGCTCGCATTGCCCGCATTTTGGTGATACTATCATCAAATCCTTCCACACAGTTATAGCCCTTCGCACCGGCGGTGCAATTCACTATGGTGGTCTAATTTATGTCATTGCCCACTCCATCATGCTGCAATCTCCTCCATGGTACACCTTATTTGTGGGTGATTCTTTCCGTTTGACCCAGCAGACCCTTTGGGCTATGCACATGCTTCGTACTGCCCCATGTAGGTATGTTTGGATGCAGGGCCGCTTCACTTATTTCAACATTCCTCCACCTCTTCGCCCACGTAGGGCACAGCAGGTTCGGTGTCCACAGTCTGATCGACCATCTTGGTCCACTCAGCACCCAGATTGTGCAGATGCCACACCTATCTCCTTTAGCTAGCTTGATCCCATGCATACTGACTCTTACGATCAACCCCCACCCACCCAGCCATCACACCCTGACCCCAACTCCCCTTCACTTACTAGCATTATCTTGACCTTCGTCAGAATATTGCTTCCCTTCAGCAGACTATAACTGGTCTTCGCATCGACTATCAGCTATATAGCTCTAAGGTTACCGACTATCGTGACGAGCTCTTAGGTTTGCACGACGATTTCACCGATTTTTGCGACGATTTCTTCTGTCGCTTTACACCCCCATCCGAGTAGTCGTCTTCTACTCCTCCGTAACCATTGAGGATAATGCTTAATTTTAAGCTTGGGGAGGGGATTTCCTATCTTTTTGTAAAATGTTTTTATTTTTTCATTTTTATTTTAAAAATTAAAAAAAAAATTAAAAATTTTAAAAATCCAAAAAAATTAGAAAAGTTTAAAAAATCCAAAAAGTTTTTTCATTTATGTTTTTATTTGTCATTTTATTTCTTCCTAGTTTTTTCTAAAATATTTTCATTTTGTTGCATTCTGCATTTGCATATAAACAAAACCAATTTTTTTTTTTTTTTTTTTTTTTTTGTTTTTAATTTTAATTTCACTTTTTTTTATTAAAAAAAAAGAAAAAAATATACAAGATGATGACACTCTTTACATACGATAGCTCCATGAAGTGGGATATCGAGAATTGAAAATTAAAAAATCTAAAGCGACCCGATTGTTATTGGAAGTGTAGAATTAGCTGCATAACCAGGGGACCCAAAGATCATGACTCGAAACCCCGGTTTTAGATAATAAAAAAAATAAAGTACTGAAACGTATTTTGGGTGGTAATAACAACTTTAGGATGATTTGCTTCTGAATGTTTAAAAAAAATCTTTATCGGCAACTCTGAACCCACAAAACATGACCGTATTTGTTGATACGTGTTACCCTTCGCGGTAACAGATAGCTTAAGTATCAGATCCACACAGTCAAGAAAGAAGAAATGGTACAACGTTATATCTAGTACCCAAATCAAGAGGTTCAAGCGCTCAAAAGAGAAAGATAAAAAAAAAAGATTGAAGAAATCAAGCTAAAAAAAAGTATAAATCAAAGTTCAATCAAGTTAGAAGTCGTTCCAAAGTTATATCTGGCGAATAAAGAACTGTGTGATATGATACTTGTGGCTCTCGAAAAAGTGAAAGCATAGAGCTCGGGCTCCTATGGGGTTGGCCCTTGCTGCTTCGGTGAAAGCTGATTTGGTTGTGTGGGTTCTTAAGGATCCTTCGATTCTGATTCTTGGCCATCTAGTCTTAAGGACATGAGATCCGGACTGTGTTATTTTCGTTCATAAGGCTAATTAAGGTATGAAGTCTCAATAAAACTAGGGTTGGATTATTGGGTTACACCTTTTTTGGTCTTCCTCACTTTGGGAGTCTGTGATACACGAAAGATAGCAGGATGGTTGCTTTGGTGCCCATTATCGATGTAAAGTCTGATCGTATAAAAATATATATATAAAATAAAAAAATAAAAAAAGAAGAAGCATGTTTTCATTTTAGTTGTTCGTTTCCCATTTGCATATTATTTTTGTTCATTGTTCATTTTCTTTATCTTTGCATGCATATTTTATGTTTAGCTTTGGTAGTTCTTATTATTTAGGTTTTTGTTTTTTTAGTTGACGTGTGTCTAGGTTGTCCCGTTATTACCCTTAGCCCCAATTTTGTTTCCAAAGTTATCATTTCCTTACTCGAGGGCAAGTAAGGTCTAAGCTTGGGGAGGTTTGTTAGATGCATTTTATATGCATCTTTTAGCACAATTTCCTACGTATTCATTATAAAAAGGTAACTAATTCCCGATTATTCTTAAGTATTTCGTGTTTCATGATTATTTTGAAAAATGCCCGTACTGCTCACATATGTTATGACTTTTCAGGGCCATTTGGAGCACATGGATGATTACGCAAGTTTATGATGCGTTTGTTGCTGCTTTGGAGCTTAATTAGAGTCTAGACCAAGGAAGGATACCGGGAAATCACCAAGAACTTCTTGGAAGGAGGAACGACGAACAAAAGAGCCGAGAAGCAGTACATGAGATCGCACCTTATTTCCCTGCGATCGCAGGTTTGCCTTTGCGATCACAGGTTTGGTGGTAGCTTGCCTTCGTGGTTTTTTCAAGCAAAAAAATTCATCAGCTTAGGAAAAGTGATACATGCGATCGCAGGTTGTGCCCTTGCGATCGCAGGTTGGTTAATTTGCGTCAAAATGGCAACATACTTCATTAAAAAAGTTTCGTGACACGTTTTGGGTGATACATGCGATCACATGTATGCTTTTTGCGATCGCAGGTACAACGTTTTGATAGCTAGACGTATAAATACAAGCCCATACTCTTCCAGTAACCCTGATTGGCGATTCAGAGGCGATTTTTAGAGGTTTTCAAGTGAAGAACGTAGATCTAAAGGAGACGATTCAATTTCTATTCTTAGTTGAGTAAGATTTATCGTTTAGATTTGATTTTCACTGTTTGTAATCCATTTTTAGCCATGTCAAGCTAAAAACTTAGAATTTAGTTTCGCAAGACGTAACCTTTTCGTATGATTAATCATTAGGCACTATGTTTGACTAATATTACTGTTTAGTTTGATCAATTTTGTGTTAAATTGAGTGTTTGATTTTGATTTCAATTTATGCTGGCCACTTAAATTGTTTATGAATCATTCTAGTCATCTGGTTGTTTTGATCCGTAATTGTCTAGATTAATTGGTAAAAAGTGATAAGTATTAGATTAATACTGAGTTTAGGGTTAACTCTAATATGAAATGATCAAACAAGTTTTAACGCCTCCAATAACTTTACTAGGAATTACACTATCTCTAATGCAACTTTTCTTTGTTCATCAAGAGCTTGTTTGGTTAATTTAGTAAAAAGTTAGATTTAACTCAAAGAACTTATTTTGATTAAATGATTTTTGTAATAAAGGTCATTAGAGCTTGTTAATGAACTTTATTACCGTTTTAAACAAGTGCATAGTCAAATATTGGGCTGAAGGTTAATTATATGATTAGGGGAGTCACCGCGAAACTGGAATTGCTTTCTATTATTTGAATTTTCACCACTTTAAATTTAGTTATTCTTTTGTCATTTTCATTTTCTATTAGTTTAATTTTTAGAAATAAACCCCCCTTTTTATGTTTATTGCATTCATCAAGAATTAGTTCACACCTTATGCAAAGAGGTGTAAACATTAGGACGTATCCTTGAGGATCCGGCCCTGCTTACCTATACTACCTGTTAGTGCAATAAAGCAGTTTATTTTATATTTTTATTTGTTTAAATCGTGGATGACAACGGTCTTAACAATCATCCACCTCCAAATGAGCCCAAACTCAACTCTGCAATGGTTCTAACTCAAATAATACCCACTCCTTTATCACCACCCCCGAAATGGAAACAATTCAAAACGGGGCGTTACAAACACTCTACATAAGAATAGGGTAGTATAGTGTAAAGGGAGTTAAAATGTATCTAATATAGGAAACATCTATCTTAGTGTAAGGAGACTGTTTTCATAGATAACATCCGTTATAAAAAAGAAAGAGGAAGAACACGATTCCGCACTAGGTGATATCTATTGAAATAACAAAATATTTATAGTTTCAAACTTAACATCTTTTATGTTAGTTTTGGATTTGTGTGTGTATGTTTTAATATTGCAGGGGTTCATTTGTACGTTCTTTGGGACTGATGTTAAGATAAGTTTGTTTAAAGGGTATTAAATGTAAGTCTTGTAATTAGGAGCGAAGCTATAATTTTTTTAGGGTGCTCCATATAAATTAATTAGAATATATAAGAAAAAAAAGATTTTTTGAAATTTTGAGGGTGGGCCTAGGCTTAGCGTTGGTGGCTCCACCCATGCTAGTAATTGTGGTGGGTTGCGACTTACTTTCTTCAAAGATGGATGAGTAGACACGTAGATCTTTTGATCAATGGTCAATCCTCGACCTCGAGTATTTATATGTTGATGTAGTTGTATGGGCTCATAATACATGCACATCTTTACACTCAAAATCACTGAGATACTCTCGTTTTCTCTCTAGTTTTACGATTAGAGTTTCTATCTTTTTAGGATTCATACATTTTGTATTCTTTATATGTTCCTAATATTTGAGTGATTTGTAAAGAGAGTAGGTTAAGATGTTTGTAGTGAGGTATATAGTTGTAAAGTGTCAATGTATCAAACTGGTTTCTCGTAATAAAGGAAGTTATTTAGGATGTAATCATGCGTGTTAACACGTTTTTTAGCATGGTATCAGAGCCATGAGGTGCTCCAATTTTTCCCGTCAAGCAACGATGCTCAGAACGATCTTCTGGATTGTGAGGTAGTCCGATCCTTCGTTTTTAAATATTTTGTTGCTCTCTTTTCAATCCTTGTAGATTTACACAATTTGTGTCAGTTTAGGGTTTTACTCATAAAACTCTGGATTATTTGTGTAAATTTTGTGGATCTAGAGTTCTTTTTTCCGATATATAGTTTCTTTGTTAGTGAACTCTAAATCGGACATTCTGACATTATTTCCTTGAGATCTCAGTTACTGCGAAGTGTTTTTATTTTTGCAGATCTTTAAATTACGTATCTTGCTGTGCGAATTTATCATAGCTGTTCTTCGAGCGATCAATCTCTGGATTGTTCTGAAATAGCTCCACTAAAGAATGAATTTCATCACCGATTAACTCTAACGAGTAATGAAACCAAGAGCGTCGATCTGTGTGCGTATCTGATCTTCAACTATGTCTATAAGACCCTTTGTGAGGAATTTCTTGTTCCCTTCCTTCATTTCTTTCTTAGTTGTAGATGTGGGAGATCCTAGTTGTCTTGAGTACACTAGTTATTTGTGACATATTAGTTATTTTCTTAATTGTTGGTTTGTTTTCTCGACCCTGTGATTGAATAGTCTTTGGCCCCGATATATTGTGATGACCATTTGGACTAAATAATCATTACAGTTATCTGTGTTTTCTCTTTTTC